ATGTTGGGGTCCTTGGCCTGGGAGAGGCACCAGAAGGCGAATAAAGCAACGCTGGGAGGATTCATCGCCCCACCCGCCACGTGGGTCCATCCCAGCAGACCCACTCCCGGGAAACACCAGCATCCAGGAGGGCACCGAGCTTCTGTGCAGGGGGTTTTTGCAGCTGGGAACAGGAGCGTAATGAAGCCACCAGGAGCCCAGTTCCAGTGGAAATCTGTTGCTGCTGGAAACCCACGCCAGTGAGGCACAGGGTTTAAGGGCCACGCCCAACTTCTGAAGGACCTCAGCCTACTTAACCCAAATCCAGCGTGCTCTCCTGATCGTGGCATTGGCTTGTTTTCCCCTCTTGCCACAGTAACATCAATCCAAGCCAAGTGTAGCAGTTTATTGAGCCTTTTCCCCCTCTTTTTTTTTTTCTTCACTTCTCCCCCCCCCGCCCCCCAACCCCTCCAATCAAAGAATCCCCAGAAGTCACCGAGAAGCCCACGGTCCCCGCTGCTCCAGCTCTAGGTGTTCTTCTCCATGAGCTCCAGCATTTCTTTGTAGACCTGCTCATACACTTGCTTGCCCCAGAGGAAGTCGAAGTGGACGAAGTCGGGGATGTACTTTTTGTAGGCCACGTTGGTTATCCGGGGCAGGGTGACGTTCACATCCTCGGGGGCTGAAATCCAGTCCTTGCCCCCGTACCAGGCGGCCAGCGGGGCTTTCATGTTCTCCAGCTCGTAGAAGGGAGGTGTGGTCTGGAAGGCAAACGGAATCACAGCCTGGGACACCAAGGGCAAGTCAAAAATCCAAAGTATCCCCGATCGCTGCTCAGGATTTTTCCCTCATTTTCCCCAGTTATAGTAGAGAAATTATCACCAGGGAGCCTGGCAATGCCTTGGGCTCCTGTGCCTTTCACCAGAGGGCCACAAAGTTGTCACTGAGTGAGATCACAGACACCTTTTTTGGTAAGAAAGGCACAAACTTTCTTCCCCATATAAAGTAAATTCCACAAATACCGTAAAATTCAGGGAATCACAGAATAGTTTGACCTTAAAGATCATCTACTTCCAAACCTCTGCCATGGGAAGGGACACCCTCCACTAGACCAGGCTGCTCAATGCTCAAAATTCAGTCTCAACCAACCACTGCAATATTTTCTTTGCACTATTTTCCTTTTTTTTAAACCTCTTTGAAAACTGTCAAATGAGAATGTCCTTCTCTTACCTGGTTGTAATGGAGCATGTTGTCACTGCCATAATCATAATACTTGAATTCCCCTGTTTGATAGAGCTGGAAAAGGAGGAGAGCCACGTTTATTATCCATGTGTTGGAGGGGACCCCAAGAAGGATAAAAGGGGTGACTGGGGAACTGCCTTGCTCCCTCCTGCCACCAAGGCTCAAGGAAGCCTTTGTTATGGCTGATATCATATTTTGGGAGCAGAGCTCAGTCCCCAGGAAGATCTCAGCACAGCCTGAGAGATCACCTGGCTCTGCTCACCCCTGCTCTCTGCAGAACACTGATGTCTGGAGGCTGAGGTCCCAAAAACCCCACAGGGAACCTGGTGTACAACCAAAAGCCTCAAAGGAGACATGAATCAAACCTGTGGGCAAGTTTCCTTTGTCTGTCATGGTCAGAGTCCACAGCAGAAAGATGTGAGTCTGTGCGTGTCTCCAATAATTATTTGTATTGTTTGTTGTCCTACTGACCCTTGGCATCTCCTGTCCTGGTTTGTTACCAGTCTTTGTTCCACCTCCACCTCCTGCCAGCTCCAAAGACTCTTGGACATCTTTTGCTGGAAGTCATGGCCTAAGTAACTTCATCTGCCCGAGTCTTTCAGTTCAGCTTTCCCCTTTCTCTCTAAAATACAGCTCTGCAAGGAGAGCAGCGCTGGGTTTGAACCCCAGCACTGAGCAGCTGAGAGAGGACAACATGGGCTCCTGCTGCATGGAATGTCCCCCTGCAGAGGGAAATGTTACCTGGCGCCAGTGGAGCATGTTTTTTAGGGATGTGGAGTCAGGGTAGCGAGACAGGTACACGTCCATGCGGCTCTGCAAGAAATCATTGGAGATATTTATTCTCTGCATGGGGGGAAATCCTCCTAGAAATAAAACTGCTCCTGTTCAGTAGCCACACAAGTGCCACTCACACAGAGCTGCAGAGCCCCCTTCAGTAAGCTGAGCGTTCCCCACGGGATGCTGGGCCATGTTAGGAGCCCATCTGATTTTCAAACCAAAGCAAGACTCCACATCTTGTGCTCAGGGTCCTTTTGCAAAGACAGAGTGCACCTCATTGCAGTAGCTGTGTGTTGTTTCTAATGTTTCCTTCTTGGAATATTAAGAAATTTCACCTACATTTTCCTTGAGAAACAGTGGCCCAGTTCCGACTCCATCCAGGATCAAGTTCCTCTTGCTTCTGGTGCTTTTGGTACTCTGTGTGGACCTGTCTCCAGTTTCACTCCCATGAGCAGTTTTTGGCAGGAGCTGGACCTCGAAATCTTGGCTGGCCCCAGGGAAATAGCCCTTCCCCTTGTGGTTCCTCTGGGACTACCCAGCTTGCCTGGATGTGTCCTCAAGCAACCTACTGTAGTGCTGGCCCTGGCTGGGAGCAGGTTGGGATGGAGATCCCCCCCACCTGGTGCCTCTAGCCTGAATTTTTCTAGTATTCCGTATTCGGTGCAGTGGAGCACAAAGAAAGGCTCTGATTTGGGGATAAGTGTGTTCTAAGGGATGGTGGACTGATGAGCCTGATGGCCCATCTCTCCTAGAGGTGGACTGAAGGGAAGTTCATTCCATAATGATGCTAACACACACGTGAAATTACAAATCACCCAGCGCAAGAGAAGCCCTGAGAGCCAACACAATAGTCAGATGTTTCTACCCATCAGAGGTGTGGAAGGCCATGTGAAGGCAGCAAATTGATGACTCCTGCTCAGACAGTGAGAGAGAAACTGGATCCCTTCAGAGGTAAGCTGGAGGGTACGTACCACATCCAAGCTGCTGGTAAAGCCACCGGGCAGGAGCAAAACCAAGGAGCAAACACTTCTAAAGATGGGGTAGATGCACACACTGGAGATCACTTGCTTCAAGATATGGCCCTTGTCAAACACCACTGTGCGTCCTAAAAGGAGCTGCGGAAGCCAAAAGGGTTGATCAGAGTGGTCCATGTTGCTTTCTGCCTCCAGGTGCTCCCCACCTCTCTGCCCACCCCTGGGAGCTGCTGGCCTGTCGACACAGCTTTGCTGGGCTTTGTCATTTTGGCTTCTCACAAATGGCCACGGCCCTGGGAGAGCCTTGTTTTTTTCCAGGGAGAGGTTTCTCCTGGGAAAACCCAATAGGTAGAAACAGTTCTTCCCTGATTAGGGCTGCCCAGGGGGGGTGTTTTACACTGTTCAATGCCCTGCAGGGTGAAGGGAACGGGCACAAACACACAGAGGGCCCCCAGAGGGCAGGGGGAGGGAGGGGATGGACGAGCACTGCGTGTCTCGGGCCACTTCCCTGTCACACCTCGCATGTGGTGAGGACATACCTTAACCAGCACCTCGGGAAGGTCAAACACCCTCACCAAGGGTGACTTCATGTGGGAGTTCACAGTGATGGGAGCCAAGGCAAAAAACATCTTGATTTTGCGATCCAGTTCAGGAATGGATGAGAAGGTAACGAAACCTGTGTGAGGGAGAAGGAAGCAGACCCTGCCCTGTTATATATGAAGGAGTTGTTGACTCCCAGGTGTGTGTGCCCATTAGAGAGACCCTTAGAAGTGGCTCTAGCAGGTTGGTGACTTCACCTGAAGCCTTTGCTGCTGCTGTTTTTCAACTCCCATCTTGAGTGCTCAGCCCAGCTGCACCTCCCAAAGCTCTTCCCGGGGCTCTGACAGCAACGTGGTGCACCAAAAGCTATGTCTGCCACCAGTTTTGGGCTGTCACTGCTCAAAACTCTTCTGTTAATGCAAACAGGGATTATCACCTGCCCTTTTCCCACTGTTGTTTGGATGTTACCGTCCCTGACCAGGGTTTTAAGAACACTCCAAAACTGGGCTGATCTCCTCCTAAAGTACCTGTGGTGGTGCCTTGAGAGTAAGCCACGTAGTACAGCTGCTCCTGCCCGGTTTTCTGCAGGATGTAGTTGATGGTGGCTGGGAGGTCGTACATGGCCATCTCATGGAAGCTGCAGTGGAGACAAGCACACGATAAAATCACTCTTGCTGACCTTGGGAGCGAGTGGCAAGCAGTGCCACGGCTCCCTGGGAGCAGGCAAGGGGCTTGGCAGGGATGGGCAGCCCTGTGGAGTCCCGGTGGTGCTGCCCACTGGCAGACGGTGTGACTGCCAGCAGCGCTGCTCCTCCAGCCTGCAGAACCCTGCTGAGGGTGCCAGGTACCTGCCCGCCCTTCAGGTTCACGGCACATACCTGTAAGCTGAGTATTCCTGGTGGTAGAACTCAAACTCTTTGTGTTTCCGTGACCAGCTGTTCCCCCGGCTGTTCCCGATCCAGACATCGTAGCCGGCGTCGGCCAGGATGAAGCCCAGGCTGCTGTTGGGCAGGCTGGTAACCCAGTTGCTTCCCTCCAACACCAGCCCATGCTGGAGGAGGACCACGGCCTTTGGAGCTGGAGGAAGAAGAGGAGGATTCATTTTCTCTGACTGCTGGGAAAACTGACCGTTCACATCCAGGTATTGCTTTGGCAGCAACGCTCTGGAGGAGTGACACCAGTGCAGGGAGGTGGTCACCTCTGCCCTCAGCCTCTGTGGGGAGGTGTTTTTGAAGAAGGCTCTTTGGTCATCCCAGAGCAGAGAAAATTGTTACAGTGAAGGTGGAAAATAAGGCTGGGCCCTACATTTAGCAGAGCCTGATAAATCGCGCTCCCAGAAAGACACACAGGTCCACATCCTGACACCCCCCGTGCCCCTTGCACGGAGACCAGGCGGACCTTCCTGTGACACTTACGGAGACAGAACATGCTGGAGCCCCGTGCCTCTGCTTCGTGGGAGATGCTGGTGCTCTCGGGGTTGCCCCTGCCATGAGGAATCCTCTGCACGGTCAGGTAGTAGCCGTCCTCCGTCACCACCTCGTGCTCCTCGTAGGGGTACCCGTGGTAGCGGACGATTTCACCCTGCAGGAGGGGAAGGACAGCGTGGGACAGGTCCCCAGGGAGGTGGTGGGGGTCTCTATCCTGAAGGGTGTGAGGGCTTGGCTGGGCAAAGCCAACATCTGCTGCTGCCAGCGGGAGGGCGGAGCAGGGACCTCCCAACGTCCCGTCCACCAACGCCGCGGCAATGTCATGACTTCAGCTGAAATTTTTGGCAGGTGCGAGTTTCCTGCACTCCCTGAGCAGGTCTGGTAAAGAACTGTCTCTTTGGGTGTTGCAACCAGTGCTTGAGAAAAGCTGGGCAGCAATGACAGCGAAGCTCTGAGCCCGAGACAGCTGTGTTGGCCAAACCTGTCGATTTGGAACCAAGTTCCCCATAAATGTCTGCCATAAATCTGGGAAGATTTGTCATAAATAAGAACAGGGAGATAATAAAACCTGGTATGGAACATTGGTGAAGACACGTAGAGAACCATGCCCAGACTATGGACAGCATAGGGAGCTTGCATGACCAAGCAGGAAAAGAAGGGGGAGAAGTCAGGACTTACAACGTCCATGGAGACCTCGGGGTTTGCATCCGACTTTAGCTCGACGCACATTAAATAAGCAACGGCCAGGAACAGCCACATCATGGTGCTCTGCAAAACATCATTGACAGCAGGAATGTGAGAGACACTGATGGCACTGGCACAAAAGCTGGGGAATGCACTGGGGAAAAGCTGGGGGGATGCCTGATGTGCACTGCACTTCCATCAGTAGATCGACGTGACCGCTCCACAGGTGAAATAATTTTAAACTTGAAGTCCTCTAATTGCTTATAAAAATGGCTTATTTTGCTAATCTTGACCAGTGTTGGAGTCCAAATTCTACCACATCTTAATCCCACATTGTTCATGGGGCCCCTGGTTTAGGAAACATGCACATGTATGTGTACAGCTATTTGTGCCCAGGTAAACCTGGTTTTCAAGGAGATTATTGGAGATTATTCATTTGGAATGATGCCCTGGGCAGCATGGGTAAATTAGTTGGGAGGCAACCAATTCACGGCAGAGATGCTGCCTCAGCTCTTGTGTGACAAGAGGCTGAAACAGTTAAATTTAATTGAATAATTAAATAACGCTGTAGCAGGGAGCTGCCCAATTCCCACTGAACGCCCCTGCCTGCGCTGGGCTGCACGGGAAGCAGCGATCACGGCTGGGTGCCGCTGCCAGGTATTTTGTATCCATCCCCTGGTGAAAGGAAGGAGAGCTGCGAGCAGCTTTCTGTCGCTTCCCGGCTCCAACCCTCATCATTCCCTCTCTTCTGCGGGAGGAACGGGCTTCCCACGCTGCAGGAGGGTGGTTTTGCAGCTGGGGAGAAAGTCACCTGCTCCCTCTGCTGACCCTGGCGTGGATGTGTGGAGGGAGGATCACAACTGCACCGCTGCTCTGCTGGAGGGCACCCCGGGACACCCCTTGTCCACTCTCCCGCTCACAGCACGAGGTCGGGGGGCTCTAACTTGGCTCGGCAGAGCCCTGACCCCCACTCTGGAGGAAGGAGGGTTCCCCACCACCCTCCTGCCCTGCACCCCCTGGGGTGCGATTTGGGGCCAAGACCCTCTACCGCACCGCCTGTCCCTGTGCTGCAGCGGGACCCTCCTTCCCCGGATCCGTCCCGGGATGCTCCTGAGGAGAACACGGGGCTCTGGAAAACACGGGCAGGGGTGGGGGGCACGGCAGGGAAGGCAGCCACCCACTCTCAGCACAGCCCATCCATCTGCTGGGCCCCCGAGGCTCTGGACTCGGGACTTTAAGACTGAGCCTTTGGAAGAAGCAAGGAGAGACAGAAAGCATTTTTGTGGCGGTAACGTCAGGAGGACAGAATGCAAATTCCAGGGAAGAGCCTTGCCTGGAATGGCCCTTTCCTCCCAACGGCAAAACCGCAAAAATGCTCCCTTAGAGCAGCTTCCCCTCAGCTCGGCAGAGCCCGAGAACTCCCCATGAGCTACGAGAGGTGCAGAAACGTGAAACCTTTTCCACCATCCTGCCCCTCCCACCAGCAGAAACGACATTTCCTTTGAAAAAGGACTCTGGGGAAGCCCCGCTGTCCCATCCTCCTGCCTGCAACTACCTGCAGCTCTCTCCTGCCGTCCCCAGGGATGGCCCCTCGCTGGCAGCCCCTGCCAAGGCAGGGGCACCCGAGGAAGAGGAGGAGGAGGGATTACCTGTCGCGGTGCAGGGGCTGCAGCAGAAGAGGTGTGGGTGCCTTTTCTCCCGACGTCCACCCCGCAGAAGGTCCCTGCTGCCCGTTCACTCCGCTCTCGCCCACCGCTCACCGGGCTGGAATTCCCTCTGCTCCACATATTCGGGAGCGTCACGGGTCGCCACTCCCTCTAATCTTTCCTCCTACGAGGATGTAATTTACCCTGGGGCTGGAGTCCGCTCCGGCAGGAGACAGCCTGCCCACCTGGCCTTGCTTGGGAATATTTTCGTGGCGCTGCAGAAGAGTTGAGAGCTGTAACAAATTGGTTATTTCCACTTGATGGAGTCATTTGGCATCGCCCGTGACCTCTGTGAAGTGCAGGACATGGAGCCTCCGGACTCTCCACCTGCACTGGAACTGGTGTTGGTGCACAGGACTGGTGCTGGTGTTGGTGTCAGGGGCTGATGGTGCACAGGGCTGGTGTTGGTGCACAGAGCTGTGGGGTGCTCAGGGTGCTGTGGGGTGCCCGGGACCAGCCTAGCTCATCCCAACGAGCTCCTGTGGGTAACCCATCCAGCTCTTTTTGGCTCTTCTCGCTGCCTCCTGGCTTGTAATGAGCGGCTGCCTGAAAATGCAGAACTTCCCAGTCCCCACAGTGACTTAAGGGAGTGCTGTTTAAAAAAAAAGTGGGAAACAAATCCATCCCTGGGGAGGGAAGAAGCTGGGGACAAAGCCTTCACCTCTTTCCAGATTTCGCTGCTTCCCAGCTGGCAATGGCTGTGGCCAGGAGCTGCCTGACGCCCAGGGAGGTCCCTGCAGGGTCGGTGAGGGGTGGCACGGGCTGTGGGTGTGTCATTTTTGGCAGCGCTGCCTTAGCGGCCACTTCTCCACTCCTTGCCAAGGTGCCCGGACTGCAGCACCCCAGGGCTGGCTGAGCCCACCCCTGTGGGCTCCTGCAACCCTCCTGGTGTCAATACCTGCCAGATCTGGCCCAGCCACGCTTGCTGAAATGCAGATAGTCATTCTTTGGGAAGCCTAAATAACTCCACCTCTATTTGGAGCTCTAAATGACTGGTCTTGACTAAAGACTAGCTGGAGGCAGTGCCAGAAGCCCTCCCAGTTGGCTCACCCTCGAATGAGCCGTGGCTCATAGCAGAGCGTGATTTTTTTTCCCCTGCAGGGAGAGGAGAAAAGGTGGAAAAACAGGACCAGGTAGGCCCAGACAAGAACCACTCCCCCTTCCTCCCAGCATGCAGCAACACCAACAAAACTTGCCTTCCTTTTGGGGACAGGACATCAGAGAGGCTCCTGGTGGAGCTGCGGCCACTCCTGACTCTCGCATCAAGTTTGGGGCCACACTGCGCCCCTGTTACCTGAATCTGATTGAGAGAGAGAGAGCAGAGCAGGAGCTGAGCCTTCATCAAGGTGTCCTCGGAGGTTTCCAACATGCAGATCACAAATGCTTCTAGCAGTGGGATGGAGGCTCTCCAGAGAGGATCCAGCACATCTGCTGGGGCTTTGTGCACCTTCCCCATTCCCTCACCCTTCTCTGCACCAATCCCAGCTGGAATCTCACTGCCAGGGATACTCCCCACATCTCCCAGAGCTCTGGTAAAATGGGGCTGGGAGCCCCCCAGGATGACCCCAATTCAGACTATTAAGGCACGGACAAATCAGAGAAAGAATTCCGGGTCGAGCTCATTCCAAACGTTTTAAAAGTAATTTTATTTTTCCCCTTGTAACAACAAACGCCCACTGAGGGGGAGGGAGCGAGGAGGGGATTACTTGAAAGCAGCCACAGGGTGAACCACTGCTGCTGTCAGCGCAGGACCGGTGTGAGCACGGTGTGAGTCACGGGGGTGAGCGCTGAACTTCCACCTCGTGTGGGTGGAGAGCTACTGTGCAGAGAGTAGCTGGTTGGCAGCAGCTCAACGTGGGGCAGCAGAGAGCAGAGTGCCCGGCCAGCCCCCCAGGGAAAACCTCATCCTGGGCTGCATCAAACACAGCGAGACCCACCTGGGCACTTCTTTACCCCGAGCTGATTTAGCCTCAGGTACTCTCTCCTGAATTTCTCTGCACTTCAGCTGGCTGCTGTTTGGTTCTGCAAGCACTGAGGTCTTGGAGCGATCCTTGTCCATGGGATGGTGCTCTCCGAAGGAAATGGAAAAGCCTGGGCAGCAGAGGGTGCTGTGAAAATGCTGGTGAGGGAGATGATCTCCTGCCCAAACCCTCATGGAAGGTGTAGTGGTTTGACATACTAAGAAAAAAAAAAAACAAACCCAAAAAAACCACCACCCAACAACAACACAACACAGTTGTCCACCTCTCCTTGAGCATGAGGTGGTTCTTTAGCCTGGCCACGGCCACCCGGGGCAGGAGCTCTGTGGGGATGGAGCCCTCTCTGCTGGGAGGATGGGGAAGGGCAGCCTGTCCGTGTCCAGCCGTGTCATTGTCCATCATGCTGGGGACAGTGACACCAGCAGTTATGTTCGTGCTGCTTTGTCGGGGTGAGAGGGGTGTTTTAGTTGCACTGATGAGCCATGGTGTTGTTTCAGGCCCTGTGAGGTTGTCCCTGATGGGGGCCAAGGTTGGACCACAGACTCGCTGCCAGTCGGCATCACCACCATGCCCTGGTTGGCTTTGCATTTCTTCTCTCTGCAGTTGTGGAGGAGCAGGAGGGGGAGAAACAAGGCCCTCCATAAATCCTCTGTATTTCCCAGCTGATTATAAAGTGTTTTGGTGTTCTTTGTGATGCAGAGCAGGTGAGACATTTCTTTTTGTGTGTGCACGGGTGCTGTTGAGTCTGATTTAGCGAGAAACAAACTTAAGCTCAGGTTTTTCTGGTTTGTGTGAGTGGAGTGTAAAGTCTGTTACTGAAAAAGAGCCCCACCCAACTCCAGAAACCCCAGGGCACCCATGTTTTTGGTTTGCTTTCCTCCTTTGTCACCAGGGGGAGAAGCAAAGTCCTGTGCAGCCTATGCTGAGCTCTGTCCCTACCTTATCATTTTACTGCTCTCATGACTAAACCCCTCCCTACCCTCCCTCTGAAGCTGTTTTGCAAACCACCACAGGTCATCAGCAGGGTGGAAAGAACACCTTGGCTTCAGGGAGAAGCAATTGTCCCTTGGATGCTGAGCTGAGAGTGGTAGAGGAGGGAGGTGTGGCCCTGGCGTGAGTTGCATCTCCCCATCCGTGTGTCACCTCTCAGCTCCTGCTTGGTGGGGGAAAGCAGGTCCTGGCTCCAGCTATGATTTTCCTGATCATTGGCACATGTCCTGGGTGCTCTCAGGGCACAGGCAGTAGCATTTCAGCCCAGAACAGCAAAGCAAACCTCGTGAGGTGCTCACGGGTAGGACGTGCCGAGAGGGACTTGTGCCCACACGTGGCTGCCCTGGCTGAGAGGAAAAGTTGAGTGGTTTTCTGGATCTGCCAGGCAACCTGCTGAAATGCATCTGAGCCTGCCCAGCCAGTGGATACCTGCCTTGGCTGGGAATATGGTCTTGGCCTGGAATATGCCCTTGGCAGGGGGAACATGCAACTGGGTCTGGTTGAGCAAACGCAGCTCCCCCGGCCTCTCCTCGCACATCTTGGCCTCCACCCACCATCTCTGGCCTCCCTCTGATGTGGGGGTGTCTCACTAGTCCCTGGGAACCCAAAACTGGGTGCTGCATCATGACTCAACCTCCTCAGTGCCAAGCACAGGGAATAATCCCCTCCCAGGGCTTGCATGTGCAACACATCTCCTCTGGCTTGAGGGGAGCCGGAGTGCCAGTTATGGAGTTATTCCTCCTGGGAAGTGGCCAAGCCTGTCCAGGAGGAGAGGTTAAGGAGGTGGGGCAGGGGCTGGAGAAATAAGGAGGGCAGGCATAGGGAGAGCTGTGGGCTCACAGCTTGTCCAGAGAGGCACGGAGGGCAACGGGCGTTTCTGGAGAGGGGGTGAGACGAAGGACCGAGGAAGGACCGAGGAAGGACCGAGGAAGGCTCGTCCGGCTTTCTGCAAGTCACTGAGGCAGGTAAAGGTGAGCCTGGAGACCAGAAGCTGTTTGTGAGGACGCAGGGACCAAAGGCAGACCTGGTCTAACTCCTTTGTACCTTTGTGGGAAGTGCCCCTGCCTGCATCCTGGTGGGAACTGGCTTTGCTGCAGCTGGAGCATTCTGGGGAGCTCCTGCAAGGAGAAGGTCTGTGCAGGTCTGTCAGCAGCCTCCTCCCTGCACCTGCTGTGGTGTCAGCAGGTGACAGTGGGGATGGTGTGTGAGCACTGCAGCCTGAAGGTCGTGAGCTGGGCTAGGGAGGGGAAGGCTTTGGGGAGCATCCCCACAGCTGTTGCAGGCTCCAGGGTGGTGGGAAGGAGCAGCCTTCAGGGTTTTGCTAGATTAGACCTGGGGGTGTTGCTAGATGAGTGTGGGATGCCCGAGCTGTGGTGGTAGGGAAGGAGAGGGATTAGACTCTTGTTGTATCTGCTGGTGGAGGCTGTCCCTGATGCTGGAAGTGGTGGTGGATCAGCAGCTTTGGGTTGGGATCCAGGTTTCATGGGGTGCCTAGAACAACAACCAAATGCAAGAGCTCTTGCTAGCCCATCTTCAGGCAATGGGCCAGGTAATTCCCCAGCCTGGTCTCTTCTCCTTTTGCTGATCCTGCTGTCTGCCTTGGAGGGAGCCACACAGCTGTTGGCTACTGCTGATGGTTCTCGAATAGCCTGGAACCCCTTGGGATGGTGTGCTGGAGATGGCAGAGCACACCAGGAGCACTTGGAAATGAGCTGTAAACCACCCAGGGCAGGCATGGAGCAGGGAAGCTCCGGCAGAAGGGAGCTGTAGCACAACATCCCCCCCTGCTTGAGGGATGATGCTTCCCCAAAAATACATTCCCTGAAAGCACCCCAGTACTTTTCCCAGTGAGGGGGTGGCGGGAGGCTGCTTGTCCCACACTGCAGTTGCAGTTGGACTAGATGGGAATGGTCAGCAAAAGGCTTGGAATGGGTTCCTACCTGCACAGGGGACTGGTGTTTCCAAATTTCCAACTGCTCCACATTGCAGCGTGGGGGCTGCTGGACGCTGGAGCTGCATAGGGTTTCCTGGTGCTGCCAGTGCCAACCCCATCATCCCCCAGGTGCTGCAGAGAGAGAAGATGTGGCTGCTGCTGGTGGCCCTGTGCCTGTCCCAGGGCCTGGGAAGTGCCATCCCCACTGCTGAAGAATTCTACAACCCTGAGAGGTTCATGAACATCGTAAGTGCCGGGAGGGCAAACACAGCCACGCGGGACCCAGGCTTCCCCAGAGTCCTTCCTGAGGGACCAGCTCGGCTCACCCCATCCCCATTCCTGATGTCTGAGGGCATCAAAAGTGTCCTGTATTTGCATGTGGGTCACTCACTTCATGCCCTCAGCTTGAGCTTGGTCTCTCCCTGCTCTTCCTTTAATGTAGAGGGACCTTCAGAAGGAGGTGACGCCAGAGAACGTGGGTGGCAGGAGCGGGTGAAACTGAGGTCAGGCATGGGATGGTGGCTCACCCTCTCCCCTTGCACCCTTGTCCCTGCAGAGCCAGAAGATCCGTTTCCAGGGCTATCCCAGTGAGGAGTACGAGGTGACGACAGAGGACGGCTACATCCTCAGCCTCAACCGGATCCCCCATGGCAGAAAGGGTGCTGGGCACTCAGGTGGGCTCCGAGGGTGGAGCAGCTGTGACCCTGCCCAGAGATGAGGCAGCGGGCAAGGAGAGCCAGTGGGAATGCCCCTGCCTTCACACCTGGTTTTGGCAGCTGGAAGAGGCACGAGAAGTTTCTGCCCAGCTGCCCTGAGCCGTCCCTGGGGATGCAGGAGCTCGGCATCCAGGATGGGGCAACGTGACCCGGCGAGCCCCAGCGCCTCCTTCCCTGCAGCAAACCCCGTGTCCTGGCCCAAGGTTCCCTGACAGATCAGGGCCTGGGATGGCGAAAGCCCTTCCAGCAAAAAAAAGCACCAGCAGAACCGGGGAAATAACGGGATCAGGGAATGTTTAGCGTGCAGCCCGTGGAAAATAACATCGAGATGCACATGGGTGTTTTATTTCCGTATGGGAAAGGCATCTTCTTCTGTCAGCTACCTGCTGTCTCCTTCTCCAGCACCCAGGACACCCGTGCTGATCATGCATGGGTTTTGTTTGGATGGTGGTGACTGGGTGGACAATCTCCCCGACAACAGCCTGGCCTTCATCCTCGCGGACGCGGGATACGACGTCTGGATCGGGAACAACCGCGGCAACAGCTGGTCCCGTGGGCACCTGGACCTTTCTGTCCACGACGAGGAGTTTTGGGATTTCAGGTGAGGAGGCCACCAGGGACAGGGCTGGGGTGCTGGGCTGTCACCACCTGAGGTCCATGGGAGGCTGGGAGATGGGCGTCCCCACCAGCCTCTCCCCTTGCTCCCCAGCTTCCACGAGATGGCCATCTACGATCTCCCTGCCATGGTGGGCTTCATCATAATGCAGACCGAGCAGGAGAGGCTGTTCTACATCGGCCACGCTCAGGGCAGCTCCCTGGGTGAGTGAGGAGGAGGAGGAGGAGCAGATGGTGGGTGGGAGTGGGGCACAGGGATGCCATGGGAAAAGGGGCACCAATGTCCACCCCAAACTGGAGGCTGCTGGGAACAGGGCTGCGCTGGCCCACGCAGCCACTTTCCCCACCTGCCTTCTCGGTCCTTCTGTGTTGGAGAGGTTGGCCATGTCTTGCCCTGGGCTGTGCTTACGTCCAGGAGCATATTTTGTTCAGACTCTGCACCCCAGACAGGGTGTCTGGGACGAGCTGGGGTTGCTGTTGTGATCCCTTGCTGCTTCCCAGGTTTCATAGCGTTTTCCAGCCTGCCACACCTGGGCGAGAAGATCAAGGTCTTCTTTGCTCTGGCTCCTGGGTACACCTTGCACCACGTCAGAAGCCCCCTGTTAAAGGCATTGTTTCTACCAGACACGGTGCTGAAGGTACGAGAGGTGTTTGTGTGTCATTACTCCCAAAATCCAGAACTTCTGGCAACTCGTACCCTCTTGCACTGCCACTGTGCACCAGTGCCATGCCTGAGGCGGGCGCTGGAGATCCCAACATCATCCCTAACATTTCCTTGCGCTCTTGCAGCTAAAATTTGGAACCAAGGAGCTGAGCCTGGTGAGCAGGAGGTACAGAGCTTTCCTGGCTGAGAAGTGCAGCAGATTTCCACTAGATGAAGTCTGTGAAAATGAGATCTTCCTTATCGGCGGGTACAACAGGAAGAACTTGAACGTGGTGGGTGCATCAGGCTCTCCAGTCACAGTCACCTCCAGTCGTCCTAGACACCTGGAGATAGTTAATGAGCTACAAAAATGAGCACAAAACCCCAAAGTAAGGTGTGAAAGGCAGCAGTTACTTGGAGATTTCTTGCAGTGGTGTTGGAGTGTTAAACCCAGTGGAGTCTTTGTTAGGAGAGAATCACTTGTGATCATGTCCCTAAGGGAAAGGTGACTCCTGCCTTATTTTCTGCTGACATGCAACAAGTTCACAGAAGAAAATAGCCAAAGAACAACTGGAGCAGTTTTATTCCCATTTAAAAATGCTGGTTAACCGGTTTACCTTTAAAAGCCTCTCTAAGCTCTTAGCAGAATAAAGCTGCTAAAGAATAAAATTTAACTTTTATATTGAAGGTATAAGATGGAATGTTTGGGGTTTATTTTGCCTAGGCAGATTTTTATCGTTCCCAGCTCATTTAGAAATCACTCTCTTTTTCCTGCAGAGCCGACTGGATGTATACCTAGCTCATTTTCCAGACTATACATCAGTAAAAACTCTTATCCACTGGGTACAGGTAGGGACTCTGATTTTATAACTGCTGAAACCAATGCTTTTTCTTTTAATGTGTGAATAGGATGTTTTCAAATGCTGCTGGAGACGGGTGAGGGGATAGAATCAAAGTTGACACATAAAAGGGATTTTTAAGTTGCTACACTGAGGTGTCCCAAAAGCCACGGCTGCCCAGGTGAGGCTGATCCAGGGCATTACCTGCACAGGGCTGACCCTTTGCCTCTGCCCTCCAGACTGCCAAAACTGGGAAGTTCAAGCAGTTTGACTATGGGTTCCTGAAGAACCAGGAGAAGTACAACCAGGTAAGTGGGCACTTACGGGAGGAGGAGGAGGAGAAGGAAAAGGGACATGAGGGTCCTGGTTGATGGCAAGTTGGCTGTGAGTCAGCAGCACCCTGGCAGCCAGGAGGGCCAGCCCTGTCCTGGGGGCATCAGGGAAGGGATTGTCCCGCTCTGCTCTGCCCTGGGATGGCCTCACCTCAACATTGGGGCAGTTTGGGAGGACCACAATGGAAGGAGGGTACTGAGCCATTGGAGAGTGTCCAAAGGAGGGCAAAGAGGATGGGGAGGAGTTTTGAGGGGGAGCCGTGTGAGGACACTGAGGGCACTTGGTGTGTTCAGCTGGAGAAGAGGAGGCTGAGGGGAGACCTCCCTGCAGTTCCAACTGCCTGGGCAGGGGCAGAGGAGGGGCAGGACTGAGCTCTTCTCTGGGGGGACCAGGGACAGCACCCAGGGAATGGCTGGAGCTGTGTCAGGGCAGGCTCAGGTTGGATATTAGAACAAGGTTGTTCACCCAGAGGGTGGCTGGCACTGAACAGGCTCCCCAGGGCAGCGGGCGCAGCACCAAAGCTGACAGAGCTCAGGGAGCATTTGGATGATCCTCTCAGGGACAGGGTGTGACTCTTGGAGTTTGGCCTGTGTAGGGCTGAGGGTTGGACTGGATGATCCTCGTGGGTCCCTTCCAGCTCAGCGCATTCTGTGTTTGTGTCAGGCCCCACAAATAACCGGTGCCTTTTCCCCGCTCCCAGTCCACCCCACCCTTTTACCGGATAGAGGACATGACGGTGCCGGTGTTCCTGTGGAGCGGGGGGCAGGACTGGGTGAACACCCCCTGGGAGACCTGGCGGCTGCTCCGCCGCCTCACCAGCGTCGTGCGCCACCAGCAGCTGCACGACTGGAACCACTTCGACCCCCACTGGGGCCAGGACGCCCCGCAGCGCCTGTACAGCCAGATCCTCTTCCTCATGGACCAGCATTCATGAGTGTTCCATGTGCTGCGCTGCCCCTGGGGTGGAGGAGCCACCCCGTGCCCACCTGCCTGAGGGCGATGGGATTGGGCGTGGGGGAAGCCAGGCTGCTCTTCCCGCCTTAAAAATGTCCCCTATCGCCCTGTTCCGCGCTGATTTAAAGCCTTAAATGCGATGATGTCGTTTCTGCCCGCCCGCTGTGACTCTAAGGATTGCAATAAAATCTTGCATCACAGCCAGACTCCAGCCCTTTGCTTGCTGGGCCTCGCTGGGGTGAGGTTTGCAGGAGACCCGCTTTGTTTTATTGTTGTTTGTTTTTTTTTTTTTTTGTGTACCTTTTGCTGGCTCAGAGCATCGTGACCAAAAAAATTTGACTCCAGGAACTGAGCACGTGCTTTGGGTTGTGGGGTTTAGGCGCAGGAGGGGAGGAAAGGGACCTTGGCTGTGGCTCTGGAAGGGCTGCAGGAGGTGGGAACTGACTGGAGGGGAGAAACACTCCTCACAGAAGAACGGAATCGGTGAGGTCAGCGCACACCACGTGCTTGAGAGGTGGAGAAAGGGAAACATCTTGGCCTTGGTGGTGTTCGGCTGAGTGCTTCTTGGGAGATAACCCACACAAAGCAGTGTCCCACATTGCCCCTGGGGCATGCCTTGGGGTGAAAATCCAGCTGGAAAAATTCAGAAGAATTTCTTCGTGGGAAGGGGGGTATCTTGGAGGGTTTTTCCAAACTTAATGATTGACTGATTCTGTGTTTTATAGGAAGCTGAATTTAACACGGCCCACAGTGTTACCTAAGAATAAAGCTCTGTTCTTAGCATGTATATTTGGAAAATTATCTCTATCTGTCTATCTATCTGTCTGTCTGTCTATCTATCTATCCTCATGTCACAAATCCACCCAGCCATCCCTCTCCAATCCCATTGTTTCTTGCCAAGCTTTTCTTGCTCATCCTGTTCAGCTTCTTAGTGTTGAAATGAAAAAAAAAAAACAAAACAAACAAACCAAACCAAAACAAAAAAGAAGTCCAGACTAGAGGAGTGAATTTCAGCAACTCTGTTTACCCTGGAGGGATTAACTCCTCAATGGCTCTTTGCAACCAAAGTTGCAATATTTTTTTTTGTTGCCTAAATTTGTGCTGCGTTAAGCGGGGCAGGGACTGGTAGTGCCATGATTTGGGCTCCCACTTTGGGGACAGCTGACCAGGCTGGTTGCACGAAGTCAGCCCGTGTGTGTGTGTGTGTGTGTGCTACCAAATGCAACAGAAGAGCATCTCATTTTCTGGATTCTGCCTTACTGATGGGACTACTCAGAGAAAAATCCTGCAATGGCCACAGCCATTCACGTGTCAGCTTGTGGGAGCAGAATAGCCCAGCACCAGCTATGGAAGAGTCCCCATCTATTTATTTCATGTTACTTATTTATTCTGCTTATTGCACATTATTTATGCCAGCCCCATCTGTTTAGTGCGTGTGCTTGCCAGCAGGTCAAGCAGTTTGCAGAGCTGTGCATCATTCTGCCTGTGAGTCCCTGCACGTGGCAAGAGACACCCACAGTGATCCAAAGAGCAGAAGGTTTTATGACCTCCAGTCCAAAGAAAATAAAAATGCTGACGGTCTGGGTGGATTAGGACTCAGTGAGATTAATTTGCAACCTCTGCATCCCTCGCCTTTTAACAGAGAGATAAATATGTTTAAGGGATAAAGCACTGCTCTCTAACCCAAGCTGACGTCAGCGGAGCAGCTTGTGGGGCTGGAAAGCTGAGCTCAGGGCGTCGATTGTCGTAAGGCATCTCGTGGTGCCACCACCAGCTGCACTGTGGGGCTCGGCGAGGCACTGAGCTTTGTTTGGAGCACCCAGCTCAGGCTTTGCAAAAGTATTCCCACCCCTGACCCGCCTCTGAAGAGTAAAAGGAGCAGAATTCACTTCAGGAAGCAGGTAAAGACAGTCTGTCAGTAGATTGCCTAATAAAAGGTTGATGAGAGTAAGAAATTGGCCAGCAGGATTGGAGGCTGTTGCCATCGATTTGCAACACAGTGCTGAGGTTAATGAGGGTGGATCACTGCTGTGTTTAAAACTGCACCTTCAGATAACACACTTGGGGTGCCTTCTCCAGGTGAGACAAGGCCAGGTTCGTGTTGTTTCATCCACAAAATTAGGAGAACTGGGTGAGAGCCCTAACCACCGTTTTATGTTGCTTCCCAAAGGGATCTTCCACCAAGAATCAACTTGCACACCGAATTAGAGCCAAGGACCAGCAGGTCCAGCTGTCACTGGTGCCAGCTGAGACTTGCTGTCCCAGGAGCCCATGAGCCCTGTGGCAAGAGCCTGTTGGACAACCTTTTATTTAGGGATGGGTTCTCCCATCAGCCAAGGGACAATCTGCTGACTCAGCTGGCAATGGAGTCATCTGGCGTGTCACAGCTTCAATCACCCTTTCCCACCAAAACAGCACGGAATAAAAGAGGTCTCCTCCCCTGGAGTGGTGGTGGCCTCATGGTGGCCTCATGGTGGCCTCATGGCAGTGCCTTCCTTCCCAGTGGTCCCAGAGAGGCACAGCAGGTCAGACTGGGAAGCTGGGGAGGGACAGGGTGGTGACAGCCCTTGAGATGTCCCACAGCCTGTCCCACAGGAGCAGTGGTGGGAAGAGGTCCTGGGGTCTGCGCACCAGCCCTGGGTCAGGGCAGCCCCGTTAGCTGAGATGGGACCATCTGACATCCAGGGAAAAGCACCGATGGAAAAGACCATCAGCTCACGGGGAAGTCATCCCAGACTGGTGATTTCTGTTTTTTGGGTCTGCACTGTGTTTCCCAGCTCCTTCCCAGCACTCCCCTGGGTGCCCACCAGGAACACCCCAGTGGGAGCAGAGGCAGGAGATGCCGTGTCATCCTCAGCTCCTGGCTGAGGGGCTGTACCTGGGATCTCTGATCCCCTCTGGAGACCCCAGGGGAGGATTTGGGGTTTGCTTACTTATTTATTTATACACCTCCTGGGCCCGGCCACGTGTCCCATCTGCAAACATCTCCCACTACTGGCAGCTGATTTATTTTCATTTCAGCGAGGATTTGGGTCACGGCTTTGTTTTGGGGTTTTAAAAGAGAAAGAAAATGTTCAGGCACAGCAAAGGAGACAAAGCAACCAGGGAAAAGTCCTCTTATCCCTACAGCAAAATACCAAGAGAAGCTGAATATTTTTTTTTTAAATTGTTATTTTTGCATTGGGCAAATTGTTTGCACAGAAGTGGAAAGGGAATTAAAAAAAAAAAAAAAAAAAGAGAGATGTGTTTAAACAGGATTAACTTAAGCAAGAATTTGTATTACAGAAAGATGCTTAGAGAATTTCTTAAAGTCAGAAAAGCAAACAGGATCCTAATCTGATAATCTGATCACCCGATAAAAATTACAAGTCATGTTCTTAGCGGAGAAAAAAAGTATTTACTGGAAATGGACTGTCTCGAACAAACTGAATAAACAGATTTAGGGGAAGAGCATTGCCTGAAAGGACAATTTTACAGAGAACTTCTTGGAATGAGGCAGAGGCAACATATTTAGGAAGAAAACGGGGGGGAAAAAGAATGAAATCATGAATTATTTACTGCAACCAACGTGGCTTCGTGCTATACCAGGGAACTGTAATGAATGCAAGCTTCTTTTCATAAATAACTTTCATTAAATTTTCATTTTGCTTGCCGGCTTTGTTCTCCAGAGAGGAAAGGATCGGGACAGGAACTGTGAAAAAGCAGCAGAGGAACAAGCACAAAACCACTGTGGCTACACTGGGAGTCCCTCTGGGAAGGGAACCTCCTCGAAAGGATGGGCCAGCACGAGGACATCTAGGGAGGAATCACTGCCACTCATTTCTGCCACGCAAATGCTAGTGACAAATTCTGGCACAAAAATCTTTTTTTTTTTTTTTTTTTTCCCCAAAACAAGTCAGATAGACCCTTTTTATATTCCCTAAGGCACTTTGTATATCCCCTAAGCCCCCTTTTTTTTTTTTTATTTGGATTTTGCACATTTCCACATCAGCATCACAGCCTGGACTGTCTCTTTGTAATTTCCCTTCAGGGTTTCTTGTCATATCTTTTCAGGGTTTATTTATTTCTCGATTTTCCAGGGAAATTGAAAGGGAAAGGGAAAGGGAAAGGGAAAGGGAAAGGGAAAGGGAAAGGGAAAGGGAAAGGGAAAGGGAAAGGGAAAGGAATGCAGTGTCCGTCAGGAATAACATGAAGGCTCCTCTCCCCACCCTGTCACTGCTGTAGTTAAAAGCATTTTGCTCAGCACTTTGATCAAGTGCTCCAAATAGAGAGAAATTTTGAAATCCTTGAGAGACAGCACTAATCTTACAAGACACATCAGCCAAAAAAAAAACAGGAAAAAAAGGGTCAAACCAAACCAGCATCTTTACAGATGCTTCTTCATGGTGTCAAGCATTTCCAGGTACAAAATCTCGGTTGCATCGAGCCCCAGTATGAAATCCATGTGATTCCACTGGGGAATCAGCCTGTGGTGGACCAGGTTCTTGATCTGGGGGAGCAGCAGGGCTGTGTCCTGGGGATCTGCCAGGCAGTCCAGCCCCCCACTCCAGATGGCCGTGGGCACTTCCATGTCCTTCACGTCGTAGAGCGGCGGACCCTCCTGAAGAGATGGAAAAGCAGAGTTTAACCAAGGAGAGTCACTGCTGGAATACGAGGAAACATGCACTGTGCAAGAGGAATTGGGGAATGGAGGGAAAGAAAAACTGGGAAGGCTTTCTTCTGGAAAGAAGAGGAATTTCATTCAAAGTTGTGGAACCTGATGTGCTACAGTTTAATTTAAATTAATTAATAAACTAGTTCTGGCCTGCTAGAGATTCTGGTTCTGATCCTACAGACAATTTTGATAAGCAGGCAGAATTTCAGCTGCTCTGATCAAATGCTGGTGGGTCATCCTGCTTCAAAGTTGGACTGGGGACCTCTAGGGGTCCCTTCTAACCAGCTCTGCTGGGATTTGTGGTTATGCTCCACGCAAGCACCAGCCTTTTCCTCAGCTCCATAACATCAGGAAAGTGTCTGGAAGCAAGTTCTCGAAATTAAAATGCCCCAGCACCCTGAGGACTTGCCATCAGGGGATTTTTCAGCCTCATATCTTGTTACCTGCAGTGTGCTTATTCCAGTTAGGAAGAATGTCACCTTCTGGACAATTTGATCTTTTCTTGTTTAGGGAGGGAAAAAGTTTGTTGGAATTTTTTTTCTCTTCCAATGCTTATCCACTCTGTCAGTGAAGAAATTTTCCCTAATATTCAACCTGAACCTCCCTTGGTGCAACTTGAGACCATTTCCCCTTGTCCTGTTGGAAGTGGAAAGCCCCCAGTGCTTGACACCATCTGAAAGGGACTTGCAAAATAGAGTTCAGAGCAGACATTGCTGTTGTTCCAAGCAGAGACCCTGCTGAATTTGTGAAGAGAGGACCATAAATTCAGAGGAATGGATGGGAACAGAATGTGCCAGTGAAAGGGAAGACCATGGCCATTGGATGCACTTACCTGCCTGTAGCGAAGACTGTTGTAAATGGTCCCTCCGTTAAAAGCTCTCAGTGCCCCACTCTGAAATACCTGCAGCAAATTCAGACATGCAACAATCTAAACGATATCACAGTCCTGGAGGAGGTGTGGGGTGGGCAGCCACTTGAAAAGAAGAAACTCAAAAGTTGAGTTTTGTCACTAAACTGGCAAGATTTTTTTTTTAACAGGCCCAGCACGGTTAATTACTTTCATTAATTTGGACAAATGAACAGAGAAGGAGTCTTAACTGGAACAGGACTATCAGCGATACAAGGTCAGGGTGGCCGTGGCTTGATCTCTCCTAGGATGGAGGCCTGTTCCCCACTCCAGGGGAAGAAGGATTCCCCACCTCCAACCTGATCCCCCCGGGCTGTAATTTGTGCTCGCTGCCCCTCGCTTTGCTCTCAGTCACTCATTGCTCAACTGAGACGCTGAAGAATCTTAAAATTATAGAAACAGAAAAGAAAAACTGGTGGATTAATGAAGACTGACACGACCAAGCAACAGCACTTCAGAAAATGGAGTGTGTGTTCTTGCTACAAACCCCACAGAGTTCTTTTGGGGTCTCCTGGCAGGAGTGCCCCACTGGGAAGAAGCTGTGCCTTCGGAGAAGGTGCTCAGACCAAATCCACGATCTACGAAGGATTGTGCAAAGAGCCAGGTACCTTTAGCCTTGGGAGGAGAGAATGAGGGGGCAGCAGAGCACAGCTGCAGTGTCACAGGGGCTCTGGCAGTGGCTGTTCTCGTGCCCACAGTGGGAAGAAGAAGAAATCATCAACTTAACTGGTAATAAGTGTAATTGGGTGCTGTCCAGAAGATTCTTCTGGACAGCAGGGTGATCGTTAATGGCCCCCGGGCTGCAGGGTGAGGCTGGAGCTAGTCTGAAACCAGAGCCCTAAAATGTGCCTGCTGTGGGTGCAGGGTCCTCACCTCCAAGTGTTTCTCTTTATGGATCCATCCTTTAGGGCCACTCTGCTTGGCTACTTCTACATTTCATGGAGGGGTGAAAGTGGAACCAACGAAGATACAACAAAGATATGTCTCACAGCAACCAGCACAACAGGCTGCCCGCAAAATACTCTGTTTTGCACAGGAAAGCAGCTGGGAAGGTTTACCTGCAACCAGTGGATTATGTTTTGGACTGAAGTCCCCGCTGGGCTGTGTCCTGTGTACACATCGATTCGGCTCTGAAAGGACACGAGCGCATTTCACAACGGGTCCCACCTGGCTCCAAGGCTTTGTCCTTCAGGAGGACACCGAGGGCCCTCTGCAGATCTATTCCTACACACCATGTTCATGTTCTTCCAGTTAAATCCGAACGTCAAGGACAAGAAGCTCTGGCAGGTCTTCGAGCAGGCACAGAATCTGGAAAGGAAGAGCTCACCCAAGGCAGTGTGTGGGAGGAAGTCTTTGGTGCCAAATATCTCCTGTGAAATTGCAGATGTGCTCATGAAACACAAAGCCTGGTCGTGTTTTTTTCCCCAAAGCACCAGCACTCCACAGCTTCTGTTTTACCCCCCGTATTAAGGTGTGAGAATGCAACACAAGTGGAGCCTTCCTTGCATCCTGTCAAATGCTTCTGTTCCCCGTTTGTTATGTGCGTGACATCTTACATTTATGGTGCTCTGGAGCTGAGGGGTGAGGCTCAATTCACAGCTCTGTTTGCCAATGTTTTTGCTCTAATTGTGACAGAACATTTTGGGGAGTAAATGCAGGACAGAAAGTCTCTGGACTGATATGTGTGATTCTCTTCATTACGAAAACAGATAGAGCACAGAGTTTCTCCCTCTGTAAATGATTTGAAATATTCTATGCAAGTAGTTTGACAATCCCTGCTTAAAACTACACTCAGAATAAAGTCTGGACCAACATACCTTAAGCCCATAGTCAGAAAAAAGTGCGAGCTTTCTAGCTGCACTTGAAGAAAACGTAATTGTGGTCACAGGTGCAAGAGCAAGGAACATTTTGATTTTCTGAGCCAGCTGAGGCATGGTGGAAAAGGCTATGAAAGCTATGAGGGGGAGGAAAGAGAGTAGAAAGAAATGGTTTACTCTTTCAAGACACTCATGTACACAGCTTAATTTCAGTAAAGCTTAAATTCAGATTTAAAATCCAGATTAAATTTAAATTCAGATTTTACAGGTCTCACAGATGGCATAGACGTTCCCTATTGTTACCAAGATGGGTCCAAAAGGGCCACTCACCTACAGTGGTGCCTTGTGAATGACCGATGTAATACAACTGTTTCTGTCCTGTTTTCCGTGCAATGAAGTTTATCATTGCTGGGAGGTCGTATTTAGCCATTTCATCAAAGCTGCAGAGGGAAGAGCAGACATCTCACCGAGAGCTGCAGCATCTACATCTGCGCAACCACCACCACCAAACCACAGAATCAGCAGGGAGGGCAGGACCACCCCACAAACTCCTTCAATCCTACTGAGCGTGTCCTTGGGAAAGGGGGTGGGGGGGTGGTTTCCACCTCAAATGATTGGATGTGCTTCAGCTCAGCCTGCTTCACTCCTCCCCGAGGTAGGGCAGCATCACCTTTCGAAGATGAAGGCGTTTGGTTGTTCCTGAGGCCCCCGAGCCCCCCGTTTACCTGAAAGCCCAGAAATCGTCCCGTTTGGGGGACAGGAGCAGATGTCGCTTGGACCAAGTGGTCCCTCTGCTGTTCCCAATCCAAACATCATAGCCAGCGTCGGCGAGAATGAAGCCCAGGCTGTTGTTGGCCAGATTGGTGACCCAGCTGCTGCCTTCTGCAAGGAGACCGTGCTGCAGAAACACGACAGGCCTGGGACCTGGAAGACAGGTGTCGTTGATTTTTTTTTTTTTTTTTTTTTTTTTTAAGGCCGTCTGTCATCCTTGGAGACAGTTCAGGAAGCTTTATCCTCCTGAATTGTGGCAGTCACGATCTGGTGAGGTTTGTGTCGGTGTTCCCCTGGGTTTCAGTAAGAAAGCAGGTTTGTTACGTAGCAGATGCACCGGGTGCATCCTTTCTTTGCCTTTACCCCCAGCGCCTCCGGGAGCGTTGGCAGAACCTGGGTTGCCCGGGGAGCTCTGTGGGCAAACACGGAGGAGCCTGCAGATGGGATGGGAAAAGTTGCACCTTTTCATGGATCTAGCCCCTGCATTGTCACTCCTCACAGGATAAGAGGACCCCCTGGAAGCTCCCCGAGGAGTGCTGACCAGTATGCTGATCCCCCATGTGGCTGCAGGGCCCCGTATTGGAATCCACGCTCCCGGGGGAAACCCAAGGTGTGCGTGAGGAACCAGGAAGGATGGGCTTTGCTGGGATCGCAGCCTGACGGGCATGGGGTCCACAGAGGGTAAGAAAACATGGCTGCAAGGGATCAGTCTACCCTACAAGTTCTGGTTGATCAACAGTGATGCCACAGATGCCAAGCCAGGGGGAACCTTGGAAACCCTCTTGCACAAGCCCCGGTATCCCAGTCAACAGCGAAAGGTGTGGGTGTCCTGAACGTTACCGGTTTTACCTTGGCATCCAGCATTTTCTCTCCCGTGAGGAATTCTGTTCAGGTGAAGGATGTAGCCATCCTCTGTCACCACGTCGTACTCCTCGCTGGGGTATCCCCAGTAGGAGACCATTTCACTCTGCAGGAAGAAGAAGAGAGCAAATGGTGATGTTTTCAAGGCTCCTCCAAGGGAATCCCTAAATGCAGTATTTAACTGTCAGTATTTTATACCGGCTGGTTCCTGGACCGTTGCCCCGACGCCGCTGTACTTACGATGTTCATCCGTGCTTCGGGATTCTTGGGAAACGGGAAATTCAAGAGGCACTGCCCAGACACCATCCCGTGGAACACGGACACCAGAGCTAGAGCCAGCCACATCCTCGCTCTGCCTACAGCAACACGTCCACACTGCCAGTGCCGTGGGTAACTTGCAAACTGGAAATCATTGAGCATTTAATTATGGCTTTAAAACCAACCCATGACAGTGTGCTGTGGGTCCCACTTTAAACGGTAAATTCCAGTGTTCCCCCCAGCAGGCTGATGGCTGTGAGAATACTGCCTCTCACATCCCCAACACTGCACTTCCTCCCTAAATAGAAATGCAATCATGATAAGAAAATCTCTAACCACTTGTCCTCCTCCTTGAGTATTGTGAAAAAGAATTGTAACTTATCACATTTAAATCAGAGGAGGACATTTCTAAGTGCAAATCTGTGCACAAAATGGGGAGAAATGTATCTTCCAGCAGATCTAGACATCACTTAATGATGCTGGGTTTGACACAGCTTAAAAAAATACTCTGTTCTGGAGAATGCATCTGCCACAGAAGGTGGTGAAGGCAAAAGGGAGCTTTTATACACAGTTATTGATAACAGGTCCATAAACAGATGCTGAAAGGTCTGGGCAGGGTTGTTCCCTCAGTGACCACGACGTGATGGACCACTGGGCAGAGAAAACCGGTCTGGCCCAACCTCTAGAACCAACCCAGCAGATCAGACTTGGGTCCCCTGCTCTCAGACAGACATGGGCCACTGGGCTGGAGCCACAAGCACCATTTACACCCACACTCAGACCCAGCTCTAGCAAAGCTTTTCCCGCACTCACCTTTACAAAAGTGAAGGCAAGCAGCCCAGCCGAGGGGTGGCACAGCTCCTGCAGAAGGAGACAGGGAGGTGTGAGCCCCTGGGGTGGATGACAGTGCAGGGGAGGGACGCAGAGGAGGCAGAGGGGGGGCTCAGGGCAGCAGCAGAGGACTGAGGGTCACCTCTTGCTGATGCACAGGGCAGTGCTCCTCATCTCTCTGGAGACAGCCCTATTTGAACTGTCTGGAGGGTGGGGTGGCACGAACAGAGAAGGCCAAATGTAAACACGCCAAAATATAGAACATATAAATCATTAGGCAACACCATAGTTCAGAAAGTACAGTTTCCCAGAATTTGTTTGTGGAGGCAGGTTAAATACTGTTTTGGCAGAGTCACATAACTAGGGACGTTTGGAGGTGATGTCCATTGATAAAGTGGTTTAATTGATATTGCTGAAGAAAGTTTCCAGTTTCACCTCTCAATGCTCACATGATTTATTTATTATGGGAGACATAATTAAGTTATTGCAAGGGAAGATCAAAGTCTAAAATGGATTTCCAGTGGCAGATCTTAGATGGTTTGGAGATGATGATGTTTCTGTAGGACTCTACAACCGCTTGTTATATAGACAGAGATGTCAAATGTGTGATGGAGATTAAATCCAAGGCAACAGACTAAAAACATCTGTACTGGGTCAGGCTGGCATGGAGTTCCCTTTCCTCATACCACAGGGGATGGGACACAGCTAATCTGCCATAACAACACTCTTTCTCTCGACCCAGTTTTCTCAGTTTTGCTCTTCCAGTTCCCTCCACTTGTCCCACTTTGGGGTGGGGGCTGGAGCAAACCAGCAGCTGTGTGGGTGCTTAGATGTTGACTGTGGTCAACCTACCGCGATATCCTTGTTCTTCACACCCTCACAGGAAAATATGAAGAGTACCTAAGCA